TTTGCCTGGGGCAGCGAAAAAGCCAGAGCCAGCCCTGCTAATGAGGTTGCTGTAGTCTACTGTATTTGGCAAGGTTTAGCGTATACATTGATGCCATTATTGTGGTTTTGCTTTCACCTACCAACAGCATTTAACTTATGCCATCTATATAAAGAAGCAAGCATGTGTAAAATTGTAAATGGCCTGTACTTCAGTCTCCTGGGGAAAGGTGTTCCATGTCAGTTTGGCATTATTTACACTACAATTAGATCAAACTGTGCTAGAACTTTTTAAACACATAAATAAGTATTTTGGGGGGTTAAAAACTGTGGTTTTTTTAGCTGTAGATGAGGCCTAACTCAGTGCTCCTGCATCTAGATTCTTTTACTGCCCCCATCATCATGATATTTGAACTCGATCAAACAATTATCTTTCTAATTTCCCTGCACTGTTTCACCAATATACTGTAATACTATAACATTTCCAAAAAGCCCACCAATAATCTGCACTTACAAGTGCTTCCTGTGAAACTCCAGTATCTTTCCTTGTACTCTTTCCTGCTTTGGCAAGTATTGGTTTGTTTTCAGGTGATCACGATCCCCAGATTCATCAAAATCCCCAATCTCCGCTATGATAAAAAGTAATAGAACATGTCAGAATTTAAAGAAACAATACTTTAGTAAAGAAAATAAAGTTAATAATCCTCAATTCTAACTTTTCTATAAAATACCGTTTACATAGTACTTTAACTTATTTGTTTTTACGATGACATTTATTGGCATTCCCACAACTACAAGTTTTCACATGGGGTTTTTTCCATAAGAGACAGGAACAAACTATCAATCAATGAGTTACCTTTATTTCTAAAAAGTCTCATCAGACTAATTCCTTCCAATACTGTGAATTAGGAAGCCATGGTTGGGACTTAAGTGTGGTCTACACACAAAGCTGCAGAGCAGTTTAAATGCAACTTGGTGTTTAGCTTGCACCTGTAATTTACAGATGCAAACTAAACAGATTTAAACCAGGTTTAAATTGATGAATATCTACATAGGGCTTTGCACCTTTTAATTAAAATTGGTTTTAAACTGATTTAAGTTAAACCAATGCAATTTCTGTGTAGACAAGCTCAGAGAAGTTTTGTAGAATCATGATAAACATATTTCAATTTAAGCTTCAAAAAGGATTGCTATAAAAACATCAGAATTTTTTAAAAAATAGTTATGAAAAATACCATGAAAGTATCTTGTTTAAAATTAGGCTGACCTATAAAACCAAGAAGTTTTAAACAGGATCATCTTGTAAATATATTAAGCCCAAAATATTTATATTCCTTTGTCACCTTTGCTTTTCTAGCATCCTAAGATTCACTCCTGAAACGTGGCCACAGATGTTGATACTTACTCAGCTGTTCCATGTTGATTTGAAGTTCTCTCAAAAAAACAAGATCGTGCTAGAAAATCCTTGGCAAGTTTTCATAGCACAAATCATTGGACATTATGTAAGATAGGTTTGGCCTTCCAATAAGTGGAGTCATATTTTATTATTGTGTCTGAAGGGGTGTTTCTTAAACATTTTTGGTTTGTGTGGGCAGGGAGAAAAGAAGAATGTAACCCCCCTTTGTCTTATATTTAAGATTTGTAAATAAATGTCTTTGCTTGTCTCTTTTAATCCTTAGGGCCAGATTTTCAATGCTATTTGGGCACCTAAATGCCTTTGAAAATTTGGCCTTAGGGCCCTCAGGGCAAGCATCTTGAGGGTCCTAAACAGAAACCAAGTCCATTCAGCCTCCACCCTCACTCCCAAACAGGAGCCCACCACCTGCCTTTCCAATTCTCCCTTCTCTCTAACTCTTCCTAGCAACAAGTCCTTCCCCAGAAGGACGATATTCTCACTATCAGACCTGTTTTCTTGTGTTGCCAGACTCCTGCTCTAATTCCCTCCACTTCCTGCCTGCCCTCCATATGTATGCTGCCTTGTAGCCTGAAGTTGATTTGGAAACTGGCATTGGGAGGAATTAAGGCAGATAAGAAGGGCAGGCCAGAAAATGAGCAAGATTACTGGCAGTGGGAGGAGAGCCAGGTGAGAGTTACAACAGATAAGAGTCTTGACTCAGCCCCACCTTCCAGCAGCCAAAACTATATTGCTTTTAAGCACAACACTCCAAAAAGTGGCCTCCTTCCCAACCCCATGAAAATTGGCCAATCCTCATTGTGTTAAATACATGGTGATCATCCAGTATGCAAAAGGTTAAAGATTAACCAATTAAATTTATCAATATTAGACTTGTGAAATAGAAAATACTTGTTTTACGGGTTTTTTGTTTGTCTGTTTGTTTGGGTTTTTTGGGTTTTTTTAAATTATTGACATGCAGATAATGCTTTGTGTGCACTGATACATGATCTAGTTCAGTTTAACAGTGGCAACATCAGTTTATGCTAGGATAGCCAACATACTAACACTGCAGAAGATGAGAGATGATCAGAGCTGCTGTGTTGTCACTGCAGGTTAGTCGTTCCTCTGCCAAGTCTCTTTTGATTTGTAATGCAAACAGATACCTAAAAAGGAAGAGTGAAGAGTATAATCTTTTGATGAGCTAAAGAAAACAACTCAACACTACTTATACAATAAGCAGCTTCTACAAATATTCTTCAAAAAGTACATAAAACAGAACTCTTCATTTCTCAGTGACAATCACATAAAATTAAAAAAGAAGTACATAACATAGCTACGTCAAATCCCTAACCAATCTGGCCACATAAAGCAATTTAACAGTGTGATGGAGTCAACTGTCACACGGGAACCAAAGAAAGGAAAAGCCAAGCTCTTTGAAAAGCTTGGCTTATCAGAAAGCAGGTTTTAGAAAGTTTGTTTCGACCTCAGGATTAGATCTCGGTCAAGGTTCAAAGGGTTTCACCTACCTACACAGTGGGGGAGGTGCATGGCTACTAATATCTTATTAGCAAAGTATGCGGAGAGTAGGAGGAGTCTGGGGTCCTATAAAACTTCTAACTCAGCCTGAGAAGATACAGCACTGGGGAAAGAGGATATTGGACTTAAGACTTTGGCTGGAGCTTGCCTATTTAAAGAAACTATGGACTGTTCAGTGAGTAAAAAACTTTGGGCAAGCCGATTTACCAGTAGTTGTGGAGAAATGGGACTGAATGCAATGGGTGAGTCTGCTGGTGTAATATTTGTGTTTTAATAACTTGTCTGTCTGTTCTTTCTTCCCCCATCCCTGCCCTTATGTGGTAGGCAAATCATCTTGGCCCAACAGTGAGTACCCGGAGATAAGTGCATTTTTACCCCCAATCTCTGTTTTAAGAATCGATAATAAACCTTTGTAACCTCAGCCATCAAACCCACAGACTGACTTGCTATTCATTCTATGGGAGTAACATCGGAGTCTTTAATTTAACTGCTTAGCCCATCCTTCAGACAGATGGTTTGGGACTTTGTATAGAAGCTTTACTTGGAATGGAAACAGACTAACTGACTTTCCACTTCAAAAAAATTCTAAAATGAGCATACTATCAGTTTCCTTGTTGATCAATCACAAAACCTGCAAGATACACATTACTCTTAATTTACAGTTGGGGAAAACACCAATTATTTATATTAGAATAATTAAGGTTCTTTGATGTAGTCAGTGTAGAGCCCATTGTAGGTGCACATGTATCTCCTGTGCAAGAGATCACCATCTTTTGAATAGCAGTTCTGTCAGGATTGAGCATGTGCCCTGTGGCTCCTCATGCTTCTATACCAGCGTTTCCCAAACTTTTTTGGCCACGGAAAGCTTATATTATTTTGTAGTCGTTTGGTTTTCAAATAAAAAATTATGTTATTTATGCTCAAATATATTTTATTTTATAAAACAAGGCAAAAATACAAATTTAAAATAACTTGAACTAACAATTTCTAACTGGAAAGCGCGAATAAAGTAGTACAAAAATCAAGTGCAAGAGTCAAAATTAAAAACAGTGTTCTACTTAAAAAAAATGTTTTTATATATACACAAACACCAAACAAATTAGATTTTTACTAGGAAAATCTATTTTTATAAACAGAAATACAAATTTGGATTTAATGGGATTGGTGTTTCTGCGTTTTTCTATCACAAATTCGCTTAATATTAGGAATAATGCTGGAAAATTGAATCCTCATGTCAGGTGCAGCATCAAGTCTATTCCTATATTTGGTTTTTGTTGCAGTATAATATGAAAATCCCGTCTCACACAAATAAGATGTAGCAAAAGGAAGGTGCACTCGAACTGCACGTTTAGCCACATTAGGGTACTCGTCTATTAGGCTGCTCCAAAAATTATTCAGCGGAAGATCCTTAAACTTTTGTTTCAAATCAGAGTCAGAAATTAAGTCAATTAGGCTTTCATAATCATGCGCAGTAAAGCTGACTGGTTTGGCTGTAATTACAAACGGATTTTGAACCCAAGCATTATCATCAGTAGTTGTAGGAAAATATTCTAATAAAGAGGCCTGCAAGTCATGTAAGTGCTGTAAAATGGTGCTGGAAAATTCTTCATGGACTGTAGAATTTATTTCAGTCAGAAATTCATGTACTGTAGGGAAGCAGTCTAAGTTATTCTGTTCTACAGAAGATGCCCAGAATTCCAGTTTCTTTTTTAACGACGAAATTTTATCCATTGTAGTAAAAATGGTCACATTCTTTCCTTGCAGCGACAGATTAATTTCATTTAATTTTGCAAAAATATCTGCAAGATACGCAAGTCTCATTAGCCATGAGGAATTTGTCAGACAGACAGTCATTAAATTTTCATCCTGAATTATCTGAAGTGAAGAATACCAGTAGTTCACTACAAAGCTCAAAAAGCCTCACAAGCACATTTCCTCTGGATAGCCACCTCACTTCCGTATGTAAAAGAAGCTGTTTGTGCTGACTACCCATTTCCTCACACAAAATTTTAAATAACCTGGATTGAAGTGGTCGAGATTTGACAAAATTGATAATTTGTACTGCTTCATCGAGCACAATTTTCAGATATGCTGGTATTTTTTTTAACTGCAAGTGCTTGTCTGTGTAGAACACAATGGCTCTTAGTGCTTTCTGGTGCCACATTTATGATTTGCGTTACAGCTCCCTTTATCTTCCCGATCATTGCCCGAGCACCATCAGTACATACATCAATACATTTTCCCCAACTAATTTCATGCTTTCTGATAAAATTGTTGATGCAGTTGAATATTTCTTCTCTAGTTGTGTTGCTTTGCAGAGATTCACATAAGAGCAGGTCCTCTTCAATAATATTATTAAATCTATATCGGACAAATACTAGTAGCACAGCAAGTCCTGAAATGTCAGTGGACTCATCTAGCTGCAATGAATACTCATGGTAAATTTTCAGTCGGCAAACTAGCTCTTTTTCTATGTCATCGGCAAGATCTTTAATACGGCGTGCAACAGTATTATTTGACAACTGTACAGTATCAATTTTTTTACCAGATTGCTCGCTCAACATGCACGTTACAATATCTTTTGCGCAAGGCTTGATAAGCGTTCCTCCAATAGTGAGAGCTTCTCCGGCAAGCGCGATACAGTAACTTACTCAATAAGATGCCTCTGTTGCACTTTTGTTGTCTGTTTTAGCAATTTTAATCACGAAAGTTTACCATTTCCAAGTGATTCACGCTTCCTCTTGAAAAAACTTATATCTTTGTCTTTGTATTCAGCATGCTTGGTTTCCAAATGCCTATGAAGTTTAGCAGGAGCCAACGAACTGTTTGGTAGTATTTTGTTGCACACGACGCACTGCGCATCAGGAACATCTTTATTTCCAACACACGTAAAACCGAAAGACAAATAACTTTCATTTTTTAATTATGATTCTTTCGTGGAACACCTATTCACATCGTGCGGAACACCAGTGTTCCGTGGAACACAGTTTGGGAAACATTGTTCTATACGAAGGCATAAAGGGTGGAATGGCCATCACACTTCCTCAGTTCCTGTGCAATTCAAAGTGCATGTTAGCTGAGGTCACCAAAAGCAGGGATAAAGCAGGGGTGGGCAAACTACGGCCCACAGGCCACATCCAGCCGGTCAGACCTTTTAATCCGACCCTCGAGTTCCTGCCAGGGAGTGGGGTGGGGGGCTTGCCCTGCTCCACACGTGCTGTGGCTCTGCATTGCTCCTGGAACCAGCTGCATGTCCCCACTTCGGCTCCTACACGTAGGGGCAGCCAGGGGGCTCTGCACACTGCCCCCGCCCCAAGCGCCGGCTCTGCAGCTTCCATTGTCCAGGAGCCGTGGCCAGAGCTGTCTGGCCGGCGCCTCCACGTAGGAACCGGAGGGGGGACATGCCGCTGCTTCTGGGAGCTGCTTGAGGTAAGCACCACCCGGAGCCTGCACCCCTGACCTCGTCCCATGACTGAACTGCTCCCAGCCTTGATTCGCCTCCCGCCCTCTGAACCCCTGGGTCCCAGCCTGGAGCACCCGCCGACACCCAAAACCCCTCAATCCCCAGCCCCACCCAGAGTCTACACCCCCAGCTAAAGCCCTTACTGCCTCCCACATCCCAACCCCCTGCCCCAGCCTGGAGCCTTCTCCCGCACCCTGAACTCTTCATTTCTTGCCTCACCCGAGACCCCATCCCCAGCCAGAGCCCTCACCCCTTCCCTTACCCCGACCCCCAATTTCGTGAGCATTCATGGCCCGCCATATAATTTCCATACCCAGATGTGGCCCTCAGGCCAGAAAGTTTGCCCACCCCTGGGATAGAGGGTGGGTTGCATAATTCACACTGACATCTCAAAGAAGCAGTTCCTGTAGGACAAGTAACAGTTCTTTACTCTTTGAGTTTGTGTCAGTGTGGATCCCAATGTAGGTGACTGGCCAGCAGTACACCTTCGGGATGGTCGGATGAGAAGTATCAGCTGCCTCTGTCAAACAGAGATTGTAGTACTGCTCTCATGAAGTTGGCATCTACCCTGTCAGCTAGGTACAGTGTAGAATGCTTGACAAGAGTCGGGGGCGGGGGGGGGAAGAGAGATTACTCCATAATCGCTGCCTTACCAAGTTCAGAAATTGGTAAATTTCTAAAACGGGGAGGATGTCACTTGAGCTCTGATGGAGTAAGCCTTCATGTTCAGTGAGAGAGGTGCACCGGCCAATTGTAAGATACAGTAAGATACATTGTGTCATCCACTTAGATATTCTATGTGATGGACTGACCTTATGGACTGCCCAACTATAGCCAGAAATAACCCAGAAGACCGTCTGAACAGCTTGGTTCTGTTTATGAAGTAATGTATGCCTCTGGAAATATCCAGTGTATACAACTTCTCTCCTGATGTAGCATGGAACTTCATGAAGACGTCCACAGGCAAGTTAATTAATTTTTACTCCTGGGAGAATTCTGCATCACTGTGCGTGTGCAGAATTCATATCCCCCCCAGATTCCTTTGCTTCCCTACAGAAAAATGACTTCTGACAGGAAAGCAAAGGGAAGCTGCAAGAGCCGTCATGCGCCCCTCTCGGCAACACAGGCAGCTTGGCTCGGTAGAGACGTAAATCAAAGCCGGGG